GTTGCTGTGAGCTGAGATGCCATGGCACTCTACCCAGGGGGACAGCTTGAGGCTCTGTCTCAAAAAAAAAAAAAAAAAATATATATATATATATACACAAAATGATAGTTTCCAGACATTGCATATTATGCAGAGCAAAGCAGAGTGAGACCCCTGAAGGTGGATTCAGTAAGCCCTAATAGTTGTCCAAACTTATTGCCTAAGGGGAAGATCCAGGTAGCAGCACAGGAAGGGGGCCCCAGGCTGAGTCAGGTAGCCTCCCATGAGGAGACGCTGAGAGTTGAGAAGGCCAAGATGGTTAGAGACAGCAAAATCAAAAACTCAGAAAAGAGGGAGCTACACAAATAGAGAGCTCTGGAGATTGACAGAGGGTCCCCCTGAAGTCGAAGAAATAACCATCCAAAAGAATCAGAGGAAATAATCCCCTGAGTTCATACAGTGGTGGAAATTGTTCAGGTATCCACCAGTGACAGCAGAAAGCCTAGTACAATGAAGGGTGTCAGAATATTTAGAAGGGTATGACCTTGGCAGTGGGGAGAACTTGATCCTAGACTAAAGGCTTCTCTGGTGCTATATAACAAACTGTGCATATAACCTTATCTCAAAGTGAAGCCCAAGAACATTTATAGGAACACAAAAATATCAAGCATTCAATAAGACAAAATACACAATGTCTGATATTCAATCAAAGATTACCAGGCATATAAAAAAAAGCAAGAAAACCCATCAGATAATAAGGAAATTACCCAACCAATAAAAACTGACCCAGAACCTGGCCAGGTGCAGTTGCTCATGCCTATAATCCTAGCACTCTGAGAGGCCAAGACAGGTGGGTTGCTTGAGCTCACAAGTTCAAGAACAGCCTGAGCAAAAGTGAGACCCCTGTCTCTACTAAAAATAGAAAAAACTGAGGCAAGAGGATTGCTTGAGCCTGAGCCCAAGTTGGAAGTTGCTGTGAGCTATGACACCTGGGCACTCTATGCAGGGCGACAGCTTTAGACTCTGTCTCAAAAAAAAAAAAAAAACTGACCCAGAACCAATACAAGTGATCATCAGTGGATAAGGATATTAATACAAATATCCATATTCCATATGTTCAAGAAGCCAAGGGAAAGACCAAATACAGTAAATATAGGCATGAGACTTCTAGAGATGAAAAACACATCTAAGATGAAAAGGTACTGGCTGAGAATAACGGCAGATTAGCTATAGAAGAAAAGATTAACGAACATAAAGACATAAAAATACAAACTGTCCAAAATAAAACAACAAGATTAAAAAAATATCATTGAGTTGTAAGACAACTTGAAGAACTCTACTCTATGTATGTAAATTATCATTACATATATTCCACATGTATTTTTCTCCCTCAAAGAAGAAGAGAAAAAAGGGAGACAGAATAAAAAATAGTTGAAGATACAGGGCCAAAAATTTTCCAAATTTAATGGAAACTATAAACCCACAGATCCAAGAAGCTCAATGAACTCCAAGCATAAGAAAGATGAAAATGATTCCAAGGTACACAATAATCAAATTGTTTTAAACCAGTGCGAATATACTAAAAGAAGTCAAAAATTACATTATATGCAGAACAAAGATAAGAGTACATATGGCATGATTCTATTTTATAAAATCCTAGAAAATGCAAACTAATTCATGGAAACAGAAGGCAGATTGGTGGGTGCATCAGGAAGAAGAGGGGCTAAAGTGGCACAGGGGGTGAGATTATAAAAGGCAAAAAAGAAACTTTTGAATGAAAAGCGTACATTTATTATGTTGACTGTAGTCACAGTTTCACAAGTGTATGTGTATGTCAAAACTCACCAAATTATAAATTTTAAATATGTGCAATTTTTTGTCAATTGAATTTCCGTGAAGTTAAAAGGAGAAAAGATTCACCTGTCCCACTTTAGATATAATCATTCAAAATCTCAAATTGACTTCATTATGGGTGGCCCAGACTAGAAAACAAAAGAGTCATTTCTCAGCATAACCCACAGCTAATAGGAAAGACAACCACTGACAAGATTTGCCTCTTCCAGAGGCCAGATTCCATTACAAGATGACAATTAGAAAATATTCTGCCTGAAAAAAAATATTAAAACTCAGAGTTCATTATACATTTATGTAATTTTTATCCTAGCTAGGCCCTCCTCCCTGCTCCACTTCTGACACTTTCGGTCATTGCGACTACTGCTATGCCCTCAAGGCCTGGCTTATGGGTAACAGAAACAGGGGAACCCAGCTCACCTGGGGTGCTGATGGGAGAAGCGAGGCCGTGAAGTCCTGGTCTCTGATGGGTCGGTCCTCGGGCCATGCAGGAAGCTGGGAAGCAGCCAGAGCTGAAGTCAGAAAAGGAAATTTTCAGAATCCACATGTTTTCTTCCTTAACCACTCCCCAGAAGACCTTCGCTGCCATCAAGAGTTATGTTTGTTCCCCTAACAAACTCCAACTCCCTTCAACTTTCCCAACAGTCTCACCCATATTTTCTCCTACCTCCTTCCTCAGAACCAAACTCCAAATGATCTGGCCCAGTCATGAACTGGTTTAAAATATGAACTTCGAATTTCCAAATCACGGTGGTTTATTGAGGTATACCCTGTTTTCAAACTTTCCAGAAACACCCCAATCTGAGCAACAAATTATTTCAACTCAAATTTAGGCCTAGCCACAATCCCCAAATTTCTTGGAGAGCACCACATGCCACCATGAATAGCTGTCCGTACCTAATTCTGGGTCCACATCAGATTCCTCTTTCACGATGTGGCTTAGAAGTTCCCCAGGCCCTGAGGGTGAACTCTGAAGTTCCAACTCCTGAGGTACCACTATGAGACGGGGCTCTGCTTCCCCCACTTGGCAGCTTGGAGATTCCGTCTTCTCTGATGAGATTTCCTGTCCTAAAACTTGGATGCTGATCTAGAGAACATACAGTACTAATTACTGACAGATCAAAAGCCAGGATTCCTATATAAAAGATATGAAACTAATTCTCTACAATAGATCATGAGACAGTCTTTAGAGACATAGAGTAGGGAAGAGAAAATCAGCTTTGATTTCTAGTCCAGCAGCAATCAGTGACACAGAAGGCACCAACAGCTGAGGCCTGATCCAGGCCTGGAAGACCTTCAGAACATGCCACTGGTAAGCTTATCCTAGACAGGCCCCACCAATTAGAGAATTCAGGAGTCTCTTAAACAACCTCTCACACATTCTAGTCTAAAGATAATTTATCCTTAGCTCCCAATAGCTAAAAAGTATTGAGAGCAGGGAGTCTTAGAATTAGGTGGGGCATGAGAAAATCCAGACATAGTATAATAGGAAATACACATTTGGTCTTTATCCCCAGGTTCCTGGCACAGAGCTCCAAAAACCCTAGTAGTCTCCTGAGTGACAGGAGTGAAACTGTCTCTGTTATTCAGAATGAATTCTTTTCAACCATACCTGAGTTTATGATGATGATGTGATTCTTGGGCCCCTAGACAGCTTCAGGATGGAAGCTGTTGCCAGTGCAACTAACATGTGAAATTTCTGGCCCTCCAACTTCTGAGGAGGGGAGATTTAATAAACTATGCGGAAGTACTGAAACCTCTATAAAAATCCCCACCCAATGGGGTTTGGAAAGCTTCCAAGTTGTTGAACTCATTGAGGTTCTGGTAAAGTGGCGTGCCAGAAGGCACAGAAGCTCCATGTCCCCACCATGCCTCGTCCTAAGCATCCCTTCCATTTGGAGTTGTATCCTTTATTATAAAAAAGTAACCATGGATAAAATGCTCTCTTGAGTTCTGCAAGTCATTCTCACCAATTTCCAACCTAAAGAGATAATTTTAAGAACTCCCGAACTGATAGGCAGTTTTTCACAAGTATAGTCTGACAGCCCTTAGGACTTGAGATGGGCACCTGAAGTGGGGAGGAGTGGTCTAGTGGGATGGCACCCTGAACCCATGGGCTTGCACTAACTCCAGAGTTTCAGAATGGAACTGAATTGTTGGACAATCAGTTGGTGTCAGAGAATCAGAAAACTGGCTGTCGGGGTGGACACATTTTGTGTCATAACTCGTATCAGCAAAAAGACAACACACCTTATGATTCGTAAGGCCCTCAGCTTACCCACTGCCACAATCTGTGGGGATCTCCCTTCAAACTCTCCACAAGGGTTACTGCCTCTTCTCCACTGCCTGGACACTGTTTCCGAACCCACATCTGGATCTCCCCAGGCAGAATAGTCAGAAATTGCTCCAACATGAGGATCTCCAGGATCTGCTCCTTGGTGTGAACCTCTGGCCGCAGCCACTGGAAACACAGCTTTCGAAGTTGTCTCAGGGTCTCATGTGGCCCAGACATCACCTGGTAACGAAACTGCCTGAAAAGCTGGCGTGCGGTCTCAGGGCTGGAGAGCTCCTCTTGAAGGGCAGCATCTGGTCCAGAGAACTGAGAGTCCTCAGCCTTTGCCAGTGATGGCAGCAGGCCTAGGGCCTGCCCCAGGTCTATGGGCATCGTCTGGCTTCGTAAGTCCCTTTAAACGAAGTGCTTCTGGAGTGGAACTGTCTCTGGGGAGAACTGGCTCTTCACAAGGACACTAAAAGGGAATGAGATCAAGTGCTATAGAGAGGATGGGAACTCGTTTTCAGAAAGAATAATACCTGAGAAGCCTTTGGAGTCAGCTATGAATCTTTTGAAATTGCCCAGTGGATATACCATTCTATTTTTAAAGATTGCAAACTTGAAGCTGCAAACCATCGATACATCTGAACAGCCACCATCACCCTGCCCATTTTATAAAGTTCTTACTTGGTCTTCAAATATCCAGACCAAGAAGAATGAAATGTACCAAATGAAACATTTTCACTATAAGTTTCAGACAAATGGCTCTTCTACAAAACATTTTTGTATCTGCATATTTATGTATATAAATATATAAATAAATAATATATATGCATGCTAAAAGTAAAACTGGACAAAAACATTAATAATGCCCTAGAAATAAAGGCCAATATTGAAATGATCAGATGGTCCCCTAACAACTATGAGGTTGAAGAGAACAAACTAAGATTTTCCAGAAAGGTATGATGAAATTTACCTTTGTGACCTCCAAGTGACCTCTTTTAAGTGCCATGTCAAAAATAGGTCCATTTGAGAAACTATGACAAAAATGAAACTCCTGAACCTTTAAATCAAGCTTGGGCTTAAAAGAGGATTTAAAATAAATACTGACTACCTCAAAAATACTCCTATGGTCTTGAAATAAGTAATCACTATTTTATGTAAATGATATAAAAATTCAGAAGCCTGCAATAAATTAAAAGACAAATATGGCCAGGCATGGTGACTCATTCTGGGAGGCTGAGGTGGCTGGATCCCTTGAGCTCAGGTGTTTGAGACCAGCATGAGCAAGAGAGAGATCCCCGTCTCTAAAAATAGCTGGTGTTGTGGCGGGTGCCTGTAGTCCCAGCTACTAGAGAGGCTTGAAGCAAGATGATTGCTTGAGCCCAAGAGTTTGAGGTTGCTGTGAGATATGACATCACAGCACTCTACCCAGGGCAACAGAGACTCTGCCTAAAAAAAAAAAAAAAAAACAGAGAGAGATAAATTACTAAATGACAAAGTTAAAATTAAGATATTTTAAAAGGATCAGGCACTATTTCTAGTTAACTTTCTTGCAGATAATTCTAATATTGAATTATTAGGTAAATCTTCAAATATTATGAGAAGGCTGAAGGTCATCATTTCTCCATAACACTAAACACAACAATCAAAATAGCAGCCAATCATTTGGGTGTCTGGCTTAATCAGTGATCAGTACAATACTCTAACTTTCAAAAGTTGCTTATTTCTTGAGGTTTAAGAAGCAATGTCCTTGTCCCTACCACCTCACCCAGATAATGTATATAGTATACTACATCAGAAAATCATTTTAAAATACCCCCTCCAGAACAAAAGTAAGAAAACATTTTTCAAGGACCCAATAAAGAAAAGATATCAAGGCTCGGCGCCTGTGGCTCAAGCAGCTAAGGCGCCAGCCACATACACCTAAGGTGGCGGGTTTGAATCCCCAGCCCGGACCCGCCAAACAACAATGACGGCTGCAACCAAAAAATGGCCAGGCGTTGTGGCGGGCGCCTGTAGTCCCAGCTACTTGGGAGGCTGAGGCAGGAGACTCGCTTGAGCCCAGGAGTTGGAGGTTGTTGTGAGCATGATGCCATGGCACTCTACCCAGGGCGATAGCTTGAGGCTCCGTCTCAAAAAAAAAAAAAAAAAAAAAAAGAAAAGATATCAAAAGAGTGAGATGGGTGGCGCCTGTGGCTCAGTGGGTAGGGCACCGGCCCCATACACCAATGGTGACGGGCTCAAACCCAGCCCCAGCCAAAAAAAAAAGAATGAGCTGACCTTTGAACAACAATGGGGTCTAAGGGTACTGATCCCCATGAAGTAAAAAACCTTTACATAACTTTTGACTCCCCCCAAACTATTAATAACCTCCTATTGACCAGAAGCCTTACTGATAACATGAACAGTTGATTAACATGTATTTCACACGTTTTATGTATTATATACTGTATTCTTACAATAAAGTAAGAGAAAACATTTGTTAAGAAAATTATAAGGAAAAGAAAAGGTATTTACTGTTCACTAAGCAGAAGTGAATAATCATAAAGGTCTTCATCCCTATCATCTTCACAATGAATAGGTTGGGGGAGAAGGAGCGAGAGGGAAGGAGGAGGAGGAGGGAAAGGAGAGGAGAAGTAGTTGGTCATGCTGTCTCAAAGGTGGCAGAAATGGAGGAAAATCCTGTGTTGTTCAAGGGTCTGCTATAATCCAATACCACATTTTTATGTGGACCTCACTAAATTTATTTTTTGTTTAATAAAAAACCTACATATTTCTTTCTTTTCTTTTCTTTTTTTTTAGATATAGTCTCACTTTGTCACCCTTAGTAGAGTGGCTATGGCCTTACAGCTCACAGCAACCTCAAATCTTGGGCTCACATGATTCTCTTGCCTCAGCCTCCCAAGTAGCTGGGACTACAGGCACCCACAACAATGACTGGCTGTTTATAGAGATGGGGTCTTGCTTTGGCTCAAGCTGGTCTTTAACTCCTGAACTCAAGCAATCCACCAGCCTTGGCATCCCAAAGTGCTAGGATTACAGGCGTGAGCCACCGCACCAGGCCTTACTTACTTCATTAATACATTCATGAAATATCCAGTGTGTTTGAGTGACATATGTCAAGCACTTGGGGAATTTTGTTTCTGGCCATAGCAGAGTAACTGGTAATACAGGCTAGCTCACTCAAAGAGAACAACTACAAAACTGGAGAAAACATAACACAACTGTTTTTAGGCAGTAGACAAGAACACAGTCTCTGAGAGAATAGAAATCCATGGGGTAAGCCTCATGATCACCCAGATGTCTGCTCAGAGACAGTTTCCCAACCACTGCACAGGTATCTAGAGTACAGCAGTCTCACTAAACTGAGCAGGCAGTGATTGGAATTTGGAGCTGCTGAAGTGATTGGAATCTGAAGTACAAGGCAGAGAAGGAGCTATGAGGATAAGGACAGGGACAGAAGTACAAAAGGGATTTCCCTGTAAGTCAGCAGTTCTCAAACTGTGGGTCCAGGGTACAAAGACTTCATTAACACCCACAGCATCCCAAGATACATGTCAGGAGTAAAGACCACACCCTAGAGTAAGGCCTACTCTAGCCTGCCACAACAAAACCTAAAAATCAAGCCTTAACAAGATTCAGCCTAGTGGTCTAGTCTCATTAACTTAGAAGGACCTGGGAAATGTCTTAGACTTTCTAAAGAGCTTCTCTATCAAAGCATAAAATTAAGCCTACCCAAGTTGAAAGTGTCTGCTAAACCAAACACCAACACTCTTCAGAGAAAGATAACTGAATCCTTAGTATGTACAGTATGTCATCTGTAATACCCAGGATGCAAGCCAAAATTCCTGGGTGCATCAACAGGAAAACATAATCCAACAGCATAGGAAAAAGAAGTCAAGAGAAACCAATTCCAAGATGGCCCAATGACTTAGAGAAAAGCCTATTTTACTGAGAAAAAAGATAGGGACTCTCTACAGAGAAACGGCAACTGAAGGCCAGGTACAGTGGCTCATGCCTATGAACCTAGCACTATGGGAGGCCAAGGCGGGTGGACTGCCTGAGCTCACGAGTTCAAGACCAGCCTAAGCTATAGCAAGACCTCGTCTCTAAAAATAGCCAGGTGTTGTGGTAGGTGCCTGTAGTCCCAGCTACTTGGGAGGCTGAGGCAAGAGAACTGCTTTAGCCCAAGAGTTTGAGGTTGCTGTGAGTCGGAATGCCATGGTACACTACTGAAGGCAACAAAATGAGACTGTCTCAAAAAAATAAATAAATAAAAAGAAATGGAGACTGAAAAGAAATGCAAATTCCGGCGGGG